TCCACAAATGTTGATGTGTATTAATGAGCTGAACCAGTGCCGTAATCCAGTGCTGAACCTTGTCCCTTGAATGGGTAAGCACCTTTCTGATGAAACGCAGGTGTTTGTGCTTTACACTGTATTTTAAGTGTCACAGGTGAAAAAAAGATTTTAAAAGAGCAGATACTTATTAAGTATAAACAGGCAATGGTTTATGATAGAGATGTTGTTCTTCACATTCAGAGTTAATCTATAGGTTCTTCACTCCTCAAAAAACCAAGGACTATCTGCTGCCTTCACAATAAGCTCCCTCAGGTAGGAAACTTCAGTACCAAGAGAAAGAGATTTTCCTATTGCAAGGCAGAGGATATCATTATTGTACCTAAATTTCTCTTCTTATCAGTTCTTTGAGTTGTTCACTTACCTGCAGTAGAACATTTAGTCCTGAAACACATGGATGGCCTTTTTCTACAGTACTTGTTTTAACTGAGCACGATAAAAATGTCACATTTCATCAAAACCTGTGGATTTTGCAGAGGATCCCAAGTAGTTGTGGCACAGAAGAATTTAAAGCAGCAAAGCTCAAATCCCATTTATGGCAGTGCTATTACATGAGTATGGAAATCTTGGAGACCATCCCAAGGCTTTTCTTAGAGAGGAGGAGGGAACATAATAGAGCTGTTTTCCATTTAGCTGCTGTTGATGAGTATCCCTAGACAAGGAAACAGTATTGTCAGTAGGCAAAGGACTGCATTCATTGCTCCTGTGGATTTGATTGGCATGCAGCTATGCTACACAGTAATTAAAAATTGGCAAAGATCTGCATTACCCAGCTTCTGTTGAGTTGTGCTTGTGATTTAGCTCTGTAGTTACTGAGAGCTTCATACACAGTTCAGAAAATGCTAGAGAAGCTGGGTTTGTCCTTTTTGCTGTGTCTAAAGTAATGCAGCGCCACTTGCTCCAGCCCTTGAGCTGCTGAGCAGACCCGGGGCAGCTCAGATTTTGCAATGTTTGTAACGTTGGTCCTGCAGGGAGCTCTTGGCCAAACGTTCTTGGTTTTGAATCCCGGCCCAAGAATGTCAGAGCACGACACACAGTCGGTGTGCTTGGCTATACATAGCAGCAGCCTGTTTACAGCATGGCAGGGTTAAAATTAGGTGTGTGGGAAGGCACAGACCAAGTTCCTGGTACCCACTCTCTGCTGCCATATGTGCCACACCTCTTGGCTATGCAGTTTTTCTGGCCAGTGGCTGAGCACCAGAAATCACTGGAGGCTGCTTTGCAGCCTGCCTGGGTGTAGGTTCTTGACATATGTGCAGTTTATTCCTGTGGCTAAAGTGTTTGCACAATTAGAGGAGTGTACTTTTAAATCACTAACCTGTGAATTCCTTCCTTACAGGAGACATTCCAAGGGTCAGCTGGGGCTTTGTACATGCACTGGATTCAGACTGTTCCTTGAAACTCAGAACCTTTGTGTTGCTGCAGTTGGATAAGAGCTGATGGTCACTGTGGCTCTATACATGCTGCACAGAAATTGGACACAGCCTTGGTTCTGTGTCTGCTTGTCCTGCCTGGCCAGGAGCTTGCATCCTTGAAACAATGTTGGCTTGTGCAAATGCGAGCAATGCTTAGGCCTGGCTCAGGATGGTGCAAGGCAGGGACTGTTCTAAACAAGCAAGGCTGTGCTGATTTGGAAGGAAAAGGCCATTGCCATGAGGTAGCAATACCATTATTGCAGGGGGGCACCAGGGATGAGGAGTGATAAGAGATAAAGTAGCAGAAACCTGGAAAAACAAAGGGATCCTTGCCTGCCTTCCTAGATCTGGACTCAGTAATATTAGAAGCTCAGCAGATGTCAAAAAGCTTAAGAGAATTTTAGTTTCTTGGAATTGTGATTCTTCTAATTAAAATAAACAGGAGAACAGCAAGGTAAAAACTCAGGGAAGATATTTTTATGGAGAAGAGGAGGAGAGAGAACAAATATGTCTCCTCCTTGGAACAGAGCACACATTACAAAAACACTGACATGAGGGGTTGTATTTAGTCAAGAAATTACAGCTAGTGATTGAAGTGAGATTTAGTCCTGTTTCAGACAAAAAAACTCCTCTATGTTTTAAATGTAGTAGCTACCAAAATTGCCATAATGGTAGAATTTCAAAAAGAATTTACAAACCAGGATACCATTAAGGAGATGGGTTGTGAATTCCACAAAATGTAACTACATTGATGCTAATCTCATGGTGGCATGAATGTGCCAAATTCCTAAAAAATGGTATTCCAATCCAAAGAGCATAAAAGTACACCCTGTTCTGGAAGGGGAAAGTGTCAAGTAATCACTTTGTTGCATCTCTGAGAATTACCTCACACAGGAGCTGTTATTTTAAATGCAGGCACCATTATAATGAAGCACTCGGAGCGTTCCAGTCCAAGAAGGAGTTTACGAGAAACAAACATCCCACAGAAAGCTCTACGGGGGACTCTCTTTCTTGCCAGCAACCAGGTTTGTTCATGACTGTAAACATGATGCTGTGTTTAGCATTAAAAACTTTACAGCTTTACCAGATTAGTAGTGAGAAAACTGAACATAGTCGCTGGTGAGTTTTGAGGGTTGGAGCTGTGTGCCAAAACAAAGCCATGCCAAACGCCAATGTAACTGCTGGGGCAGTTGTTCTGTAATAGCTCCCGCACAGATAAGAGACCCTGGAGTTGTATTAATTCTTAATTTTATAAGTGACTCTTTAGCTCTGTCATTGTGGCCACATTGTGGCCCTGCTTGTTTTGCAAAGCACAGAATATGTTAATAAAAAATATAAAAAAATACAGGGACTGCTTAGAATTCTACTTCTAGTGTTAGACAGTGGACAAAGTGTATGGATAGCACAGTAGTGATGCTGCCATGTTGATGTTTGCTGGCCAGAAAAGCTCCTCTTGGCAGTAGAGGCACGGCTGAAAACAATGTCCGTTTTCAGTTCCCTATGTAATCATCTTCCCTACCCTATGGCTTGCCAGGATGCTGCCGGATTTCTGATACATTGCCTTTTTCCTCTAGTGTTGTAGCATCTCTTGGACATGAATAATACATTTCAGTTGTTCCTGGTTGTTGAGGAGTTGTATCTTTGCAGTTGGTGGAGGAAAGAAGTCATACTTTTGACACATCATCACTGGAATGTTTCTTACATTCTGAATCTCTCCTTTAAGGTGTTTGTAGAAGACTTGCAGATGTGCTAACCATCAAATGAGTGTAAAGTGAAGGCAAACCTCCGTCTTTCCCCTTGATTTCACATGAATACAAGGCTGTGAAACTATCTGGTCAATGTACAATGCTCAGGTGGAATAATGATGAGTGCTATGGAAGAAGTTTGAGGAAAAGAGTTCTGTGCTGGGGCTTAGGCAGGGAACAGCAAATAAGAAATAGAGACAATAAAGGGAAGCAGGGCAGGATGGTGTGGAGTAGCCAGGTTCAAGCAAGTCTAATCTTTGTGCTAAAGTATTTCTCTTTATTTGCTTCTTGGATTGCTTGAGTAGAGTAAAAATTCTCCTTTAACTGTGTACAGATAATATTCAATATGCTTTGAATGATGATGAGGTAGGTGATAAAGTAGTTGTGACCAGACACACAAAAACCTAAACTGCATTTTTCTTGCAACCTTCTGAAAAAAAACCTGGAGTAAAGGTAAATGATTTAAAAAATAAATTAAAATCTAAAGTGATGAGTTAAAACTGATTTTAAGTATAAACTTACTAGAAGACTGAGAAAGGATAAGACATCTGTTATTTCCTTTTGTCTTTCCAGTTCTACCAGAATTAAAGCTGCTCTGTGGGGCTGATTTTCTACAGACATTTAAGACACCCAATCTCTGGAAGGAAGAAGACATTAAAGAAATAGTGGGAAAGTTCGGATTGGTCTGCATTAGCCGGGCTGGCTCTGATCCAACGCAGTTCATCCAGGAATCAGACCTTCTATCTAAATTTCAGCACAATATTTTTCTAGTGAGAGAGTGGATCCAGAATGAAGTCAGTGCCACGCAGATCCGCTCTGCCCTGTGCAGAGGGCTGAGTGTGAAATACCTCATCCCAGACTCTGTCATTGCCTACATTGCACAGCACAACGTCTACACAGTGGAGAGCGAGCGCAGGAACGAGGGGCACCTGCTGCAGCCTCTCAGGCTGCAAAACACAGCAATAAACCCTCTGAGGGACTGATTTCTGCACTGTGTACTGTGTCAGACCAGGACCCTTGTCATGCAGATTTCTTGTGAAAGTTTTTTCTTATTAATAATGAAGGGAAAATCCAAAATTTTTGGAAATCATATGATGTTTTAAATCCATGAATCTGTGTGTGGTAGTGTTCAAGAAAATTGGGATGCTCAGCTGTGTAGCTTAAAATACACAAAGAACATCTTTGTGAAAATAAAAGCAAGGAGATCTTCACAATAAATATTCTTAGTATTTCAATCCTTACTGTTCTAAACCAGCAAAATACAATGAACCATAACTTGAGAGAGATATGTTTAAATTTATATTGCTTCTAAACTTTGACTTTATAAGTCCCTGAATAACTTTTTTGATTTTTGGTGATTAGGCCAAGACATGGAAATCAATCTTTCTTTCTTGCAAGCGCTTAAAAATGCACGTGCTACTTCTGCCGCTTCTAAGGCTTCGGGTTCTCAAATGACAGCCAGCCCTCATCCTCACATTTAAAGTAGTGTCTTTGTTTGAACAGACAGGTGTCTGCTAATGAAGGCAGGAGCCTCTCTTGGAATGGAAAATGTAAACCGAGTTCTCAAATGACAGGCAGTCCTCATCCTCACATTTAAAGCAGTGTCTTGGTTTGAACAGACAGGTGTCTGCTAAGGATAGTAGTATGAAAACACTGACCAAGTCAGAATCTGACCTGACAGCCTGTGTGTCAGGGTGGTGGCACAGTCCCATCCCATGGGGGCTCAGCCCTCCTGCAGTGCCAGCTGTGGTTCTGCTGGAGCAGGGATCCTGTACAAGGCTGCAGTTTTCCTCTGGAGATCTCCTGGAGGGAGGATTGGCTGTGGAAGGGATAAAGAAAATTGCCCACCTGGTTTTAATAGATGGTGATGGAATACACACTTCTGGTTACATCTCGCATTGCAACCTAAGATGAGTGGGTGTCTTTTCTTCTCTGTTCCAGAGTCTTCTCAAGAGCAAGCAATTGCCAAAGGCCCAGAGTAAATAAAATATCCAGTAGGGGCTTCAGTTGTACCATATGCAAACATCTGAGAGGCTCAGTACTTGAGCTCTGATGTTAGTGGGGAAAATCCGTGCTCCTCTCTGCTGGTTGTCTGTTACGCTGATTGAGTGTCTCTCATTTCTGACAGGAGTCACTTTCAGAGAATACAGAACTCTATAAGTGCTTCCTCTGTGTTTCAGAGCTCCTCAACTGAAACCATTCATGCAGCAGTGATGTAGCATTTATCACTGTACAGAATAACCACTGCTTCCAAGTACAAGTTTCCACCTAACTGGTCCTTCTGAGCCCCCACCTGGCCAAGAAGCTTCCACTTGTGGTTCTTTAGGATTCAGGAGCTTGTGGAACAAGTTAAAGGAATACCAGACACTAATAGCTTTGACTGAAAGGGTCTGTATGATTGTTTTCTTGAAAGAAAGCATAAAGTAGCTGAAACCTATTCAAGAAAGACTTTGGCTCAAAAAACACACAAGATAAGCACTTTTATGGCTTTGGCTAATATCCTAAACTAAAGCTATTTGAAAGGGTTGCTTGTTTTTTTTTCTGAGTGTCATGAAGAATGAAGAGTAATATGGTTAAAACGGATTTCCCTTACAGAAGTGATATGAAAGGTGAATATTTCATTCATTTTAAATCAAGTCATCCTGCTGTCATTAGAAACCCTCAGAGGTTCAGCCTGGTAGAAGGATTTAAAGGCAGCACTTCAACAATAATCGGATTAGAAGGACTTGCATAGCTCCATGGTCTAAAAAAGAGATAAAAGAAACCAGAGCTCAAACTTGCCACAAAGCAAGGCAGTGAGTTGTGTGGTGCAGAATCAACCCACAGTTCTGAGCCAGTGATTTTGACAGTCACCTGAAGCAGGGATGCCTGCAGACTTCAATGGCTATTGGAAAATGGTCAGCAATGACAATTTTGAGGAGTATCTGAAAGCACTGGGTAAGGTTCCCTTCAGACTTTGTGAATGACTAATCAATGCCACCTGTCTTATTCTTTACGTGAATCTATTTTTTCTTGTACAGTCATAAGTCTTTGTTGTGAGAAGTATTTTTTTTTCAGAAATGCACTTTAAGGATTGCCTTAAGCAAAATTGTTTTGCCTTAAGCGGCCTCTACTTTTTGCCAACTTGAAGCTTACATTAACAGGCATTAAACTATATAGCTTGAAGAGGTATGTGGTGGATTCCAAACATAAAAAATCTCCTATAATTTGAAAAGCAGTGAAATTTTTATATTTAATAAAGATTCAGTGTAGTACTTAATGCAATTTTTTGCATTTGTACTTGATGTTGTGTTAGTATCTCTATAGAAATATTGGAGGCCTTATTAACTGTCAAATACAAATGGTACTTTTTATAGACTTCACATAACCTGAAAATTGAAACATTAAGTTCTTCTAGTTATGAAAATTAGGTTACATCCTTTTTCTGGTTTGAAAGATTTGGACATCTATTTATGCTTGTTCATTTTAGCTCTCCCTAGAAGCGACAAGCTTCTTCTTGTGGAAAACTTTCCTGGATAAAAATAACTCTTTTTCTTTTTCAGATGTAAATGTTGCTGTAAGAAAAATAGCAAACTTGCTAAAGCCTGACAAAGAAATCCTTCAGAATGGGGATCATATGATCATTAAAACGCTGAGCACTTTTAGAAACTACATCATGGAATTTGATGTAGGGAAGGAGTTTGAGGAGGATTTATCTGGGGTGGATGATCGCAAGTGCATGGTAAGAAGTAGAACTTCAGCACTGGATAAAATGAATATTGATAACCTGAGGCTTTTCACAGAACGTCTTTTAACCATCCAGGTGGCTATTCCTGAAATTATTTCTATACTTCTCAGTTTGCCAAGAGGTACCTACAATTTTGAGCATGCCTTTAGATTAGAGGAATGCTAATTTTAATCAGGAGCACAAAGCAATTTTATCAATCAATGAATAATAACCTCAGTGAAGCTGTGCTCATTTATACTGGGATATTTGCTAGTCAAAGAGACATCTAGGGTCAGTTTCAGAACCTCTTTAATGAGTAAGGTTTTACAGTAGAGGAAATCCACTGATTGCAAGGTCAGGCACTGCTCCTGTGTGAGAATGGCCAAGTGCTTTAAGATCGCCTGGCTGTTCTTATTAGAGTACACACTTAATTAGCCCACTGGAACAAATCTTACTGAAATGAATAAGCAAACACTGAGGACTTTGTTTTACAATAGTTCTCTTTTATGAGCTCTTTCTGCTTTTTAATTTAGGACTGATAAAGATCAATTTACAGAGGAAAAACTTGAAAATAGCAAGTTATCAGCAGTTAGTTTGGCAGCATGAATGACACTGGCAATATTCTACAGTTAGGAAGTTGACAAATAAAAGAAAATTATCTCAGGAGGGACTCTAGAGGAGAAATCTCATAAAAGAGAATTAATAGCTTTACATTCTGGGAAAGATAGTTGCCATTTAAAACAAATACTTTTCCCTCACACTAAGATTTTGCTTTTGCTCTGATCATGGCAGGAAAGAGAAAAATTGTGAGAACCAGAGAAAAAAGAACGGTTAGCTACTGAGTGCCTCAGCAAATCCTTCTGTGGTCCTTGTTCCAGAGGGTACAAGTTTGATGAGAGTGCAGAATCCACCATTCATGGGAGGGAGGAGCAGCTGCATTTGTGTATAGGAAAGTGCCCCAATGGGCACTTGTGATTTTGGCTCCTGGAATGCTCTTAGTTAGGATACTGAGGTCCAGATTCACTGAACAGTTGAGCCCAAGAAAAGATTTAAGACTGAGGTTGATTAAATTACCATCAAAGGTAGCAATGTTCAAAACATCTGCTCCAAAGGTTTGTATGTGCACAGAACTGTCCATGTGTAAGCACTGCCTGTACTTGAATACCATTAATTCCCATCTGAAGGAGAACTAAACCATCCTCTGCATGTTGGAAAGAAGTAATAATTTATTATTTTTAACAAACCAAAATTCTCTACCCTATTTTGCTAAATTGAGTGATAAGGGAAGGATTCAAAATATTAAACCAGAAAGAAGAAACTAGAGAGAGTGAATTTCAGTCACTACAACAGCTGATTGATTTGGCATAGAAGCTAGTTCAGCCTACTTTCAAAGGTTACTCAGACATTTCTCTGTTTACTGTTTAGTGGGAAATGCTTATTCAGCCTTGGAAGCAGAAGGTAGCAGCAGCTTCCTGCCTGTTACAAACAAACAGACAAAAACCCCAAACAACCAGGGGTAGTCACTGTCTCTGACTGGGGTTTTTTAAAGAGGACTTAGGGATGTAATTCCACAAAACCTGCCAGAGATCTCCATGTCTCTCTGTGCTCTCCAGCTGTAGCTGGACAGTCCCGGTCACTGACCACTGGTGCTCCATTTGCCTTGTAGCAGCACATCACATTTATAGTTCAATTTTATTATTGAAGATTTATTTTCTACATGAGACCTCTGTTTTATCAATGACAAAACAGTACAAGAAGCTGTCTTGCTGAAGTGACTTCAGTCCAAATCTGATAACCATAATGTCAGGTAAAATTTGCAGTTGTTAAGCAGCAAAATGACTCCAACAGTGCAGAAGGAGTCTTGTGAGAGAAGAGTCATGGAGCTTATGAGAGATACTGGACCACTCCCTGTGTGGTGTTACAAAGAAAACCACCATAAAAGCAAATGTTAAATATCATTCTTGGTGTTCCATTTGTTAATGTAGAGCCTGTGGAACTGCATGCCATAAAAGGCTTAATCATTAATAGTCAGCCTGTGTAATGGAAAGGGTTGTGAATCAATTATTGTTATTTATATTGTGGACTGAGCAGACCACTGGGCAAGTTTTATCCAAGGAGCTCAATATATGAGCAGTACAAAGTAACATGGATAAGACAAATTACACATTAAACATTAATCTATACAGTAGAGCAATCATCAGGAGACTAACAAAAATAACCTTAGAATTAATCCTTCCTAGACATATAGATTGTTTTTTCTTTTAATGAAGAATATATCATCTAGCTAAAGTTAACATATCTGTAAAAATAATATCAGCATGGTGGGCAGGTTAGATCCTGCGTGTAATTCACTGAAATTGTGTTCACCTTTCAGTTGTAAAACTTATCCTTGAGCCAGTCAGGGTAGAGTGTAACTACAGTAATTCCAAATCAATGCTGTCCATGAGGAGGAAATGCTAAAAAGTTTTGCAGATACTTATTTTCAATGTTGGAATTTTGACATTAGGAACTTGATAGTCTTGTGATAGTACAAGCCTTCTCCTCCTTTGCAGTTAGGGTTTTTTTCATTTTTATAGTTGGTCACTCCTGGGAGCCTGTCTGAACTTCCTTCATCCGGGAGTTCTTTGAGAAGGATAAACCTTTGCAATTTCAGTTTGTCCTTCTGACCTGGCTTTCTTGCATGCACATGTTTTTGGGTGGAGGGACATAGGGAACAGCAGCTGGTGACATCAGGTCCTTTAGGATGTTGTTTCTGTTGGGAAGTGAAAATTTGTGACTTTGGAATCTCTAAAGCCCTGCAGTTTAGTTAAAGATGCAGTTTCTGTGTTCTGCAAAACCAAAGATGGTGATAGTTGATCACAGGAGAGATCACAAATGACAGTCAGTATCAATACTCCTCAGGCTTGCCACCCAGGATTGGATCTTCTGGATAAAAGTCAAATCTGTTCACTTGGCAATTTTGTGAAAGAGATCTTTCTGCAGATTCAGTCATACTTAACTATCAAGGGTTGCTAAAAATGTGGCAGCTTCAAGTACAAACGTAAAATGAAAGTTCAGGAGCATCTTTCATTCCTTGCAAATGTTCCTAGGCGTACAATAGATGGTGTAGAAGGAAGTTTAGAACATTAATTTGTGTTACATTTTTTCTCACATGATGTGAATTGAGCATGTAGTCAAGTTTTTACTGCTTTGAAGAGTTTGTTCACAGTTTTAATTGGCAACATATAATCAGATTGAGAATGTACCGAGACAGAAATTTAAAGTTAAATGGAGAGCTCTGGCTTTGGTATTTTTCACACTGAGTCTTTGATCCTGCTTTCTGAATTCTCAGTGAAACTCCAGTCTCATCATGAAATCTCAGTTTTAAAGAGAATTTCTGCAATCTCAAGTTGTGATTAATTTAGCATCTCAGGTGTTGCTCTGAGTATGAAACTTTGTTTCATGCATATAAACATTACTGTGAAAAAAATGCACTGTGCATGCAAGAGGAAGACCCTATTGAAACAATTAATCCAAAACTAATACTCTGAAAGTATCTCTCATTTATCAGCAGATAGTTGTGCTTCCCTTTTCCACTGTCAGTGATAAGCAGTGAAGCTGGTGAAACACCTACAGTGTGGAATATGTACCCCCACATAGGAACAAGGCACATAAGCCTTCTGTACCTTCACAGTGTCATTTACTTAGTGTTTAGTAAACAAATTATGAAAAAGTTAACTGAAAAACCTTGAAATGCTGAAACTGGGGCTGAAGTTTCACATTGCAAGTCTTTGCATCCAATGAATCAAAGCAGATTGAAAATTGGATAGCTCAGATGCAAAAATTACTTTCCTAAAAGTAATTTTTAGTTTTCTAATGATTCTGCTGATAAAGTCAGAGAAAACTTTTGCATTATAATTATTCTCTGCTGTTCAGGCATTTGAAAGACTGAATTGCTTTATCTTACGCTACGCAGAGTTAATCTCTTTTGACAGAGACTAAGGGCAAGTGATGTGTTAAAAATCAAGAAAGATTTGATGTTCTAAATATAGAAGAGCAGAATTTCTTGGGTAACTGAGAAGAGTTGTGTTATAACTGAGTATTTGTCCAAGCATGTGAGAGGTGCTTTGGTAACTCAGAGCCTTGTGCTCTGATACAGTAATTTTCTTCTTCCATTGAAGCAGGAAATGAAATTACAAAGTCAGGGAACTGGGAAACAGAGAAAACTGCAAGAATTTTAAACTGAATGTGGGAAATAATACATCTTAACCATTTAGCTATCTGAACCTGAATACAAGTGGGGTATAACCATGAATAAGTTATCAAGTGGGTGTTTCAGTTTCCTTTATTGGAACTAACAGAAACTTCTAGTCCTAGTTAAGACTTGCTGGGGTGGGGAAGGGTGAGGAGGATTTGGGACTTGTGGAATTCCCACATCAGCTCTAGAATACATCTTGCCATGTGAAGTGTCAGTTAGTGTTTGAAACAGCCACACAAGGACTGTTCACAGACACCTGACTGTGCCATGTCCTGCTGAAGGGAGGGAAGTTGTTCAAAACTGATCATGGCTCTGTTTTAATTAACAAACATGCCTAATGTGACACTGATTTCTCTCAGGTTTGTATTCAGGAAAACTGCAATGGAGGTAGTTGTTCTGGCCGTAATTTGATTCATACCACTGCAAGGTCAGAATAAAGCCCTATTACAAAATCACATGGTTTGTGAAGCTTATTTAACTATTTAGGCAGGTTCCTCTGTTACATGTGGCACAAATGGAATTCTGGAAGCTGTTAATCTAGTTCTGAGCAGGCTTGGGAATTAAGATTTTGCTGCCAGAAAAACAACAACCAACAAACAACATTCCAGTACATGGAATTGCAGGAGGGATCTCCCACATGGTGAGAAAATTCCTAATAAATAGTGCCTGTCTAGTAAGATGCAAGATCAGCAATATGTCTTTACTCAGTCCCTCTGATTTAGCTGTTTTATTTCTTTACCCTTTCAGTGCTGCCCTTCTGGGCTTGTAAGTATTTTCTCATATACTTTGGTGGAATAAGCATTATTCTAGAATCACTGTTGCTGGGGCTGGTCTTCTCTGAGATTTAGTGCCTCCTGTCTCTTTGCAGTACTGTAATTTCACCAGCTTCTCATTGGCATAATCCCTGATTTTTTTATGCTACAGAGAGCAGAAGGGGCCCGTCTCAGGCTCTGTCAGAATGGACTCTGGTCTCTTCTGTCTGTGCCTCAGTGAGGAGGAGCAGTTTCCTTTTTCCTGCCTTGTCCCACCCTGCTTGCACCTTGGGCATGAGTCCCTGCCTGTAAGTGATGTGCTCAGCACATTTGCATGGTGATACCAAATGAGATGATCAGAATCTTTGGCCATATAAATGTCATAAACTTCACATTTTGCAGGGCTGGATTCCTGTCTAAATCACAAGATTGATTTGAAGCTTTGGAGCTAGTTATTCACAGAACTGCTGCTAGCATAAGCAAGCTCTGCAGGGAAAGTGCGTTTGGATAGGTTTAGCATTTCAGCTTTTTGTGAACTCTAAAAGCTCTGAGAGCTATGAATGGAGAAAGAGCAATCAGAATCTGCTGAAAAGCTGAGAACCAGACTTAACAAATCCAATTTTGAATGACAAACCATTAGTGTTATGTACAATTGTATCTTGCCAAAATTACACAGGGGATAAATCCATTATAGCCATTAATTTAAATAGTAAGTCTCTTAGAATCGATTCTGATCTTTGCAGAGAGTGAATTGGATGTGATGGGTTTTAATCTTTTTTCTGGCATGGAATATACACAAGTTTTCCTATTTTTGTATTGTATACAATTTTATTTCAGTAAGAAAAAAAGCCACCATTCCTAAGAAATAAAACAGTATGCACTGTATAAAATACTGATTCTCCTCCTCCCCCCACATATTGTCAGCTGCATAGCCCAGAGCTTTGCACCTTCACTTTCCTACTCCCTGGAACATAGCTTGTCTTTGCTTTGCACTGTTGTTCTTATGAGCAAGCATTCAAAACAAGGAATAGGAACATTTAGGATCTGATCCTCTCTGACCACAGCTTACCTTTCATCCAAATTTTTTCAATCCAATCCTAAGCCTCTTTTCTAGCAGTGCTACCCCAGAGATGCTGATAATGACAGAAGCAAAGGAGACTTTGCCATGACTGAGCTACAGCGTGGCTAAATAGGTTCAGCCTTTGGCCAGCACCAGGATCAGGAGATAAAGGCCAGGAATCCTTCCAGGAGTTGTTATGTTGGGTTTGTTGTTGTTTTCTCGGTATTTTCTGTTGCTGAAGTTCCAGATGCAGATGTGATGAGACAAAAGGGGTTTCAGGGGGAGGGGACAAAGCTGCCCATGGCTGTAGCCCCTGGAGCAGCCTCCTGCACAGAGACATAGGGAGTGAGGGAGTGACCACCTGGCAGAATTCCCTCTCACAGTTACATTGGATTTTGTCTGGGATGTCAACATGAGTTTATTCTATCAACACTTCATTTTTTCCCCAAAAAAAGCTGCTTACAAGAGGTTTTTATATCACTTTGATACTTAGTACAGATGAAATGGTTTATCTTGAGTTGTTAAGTACCTTGCTGGAGATATTGCTGTGTTTGACCAGAAGTTCTAGGATATTTTCTTTGGTGTTATTTACAGAACACAGCTCAAATTGGATTTTTCTGTTTAATCTGACCTAAAAAATCCTTCTTAGATCATAATTACCGTTGTAAAATGTAATTCTGTTATTCTCCCAAACAGAGACTTACTGGCTGAAGATGGAGCAGGGAGGGTGGTGCATGCCTAGCTTTGCAGTCATTTGGTGCTCCATATATAGAGACAACACTGAGGGAAGCAGGAGAAAAATAGAACTGATGCTGCTGTGTTTGGGCTACAGATAGGAAATCAATAACATATTTTTGCTGAAAGGTGGGAGCTGCAATTCATACTTGTAGAGGCAATGTGTCAAAAATCTATGCAGCATTAACAAAAAATGTTCATGAACTACTTGGATAAAAGTTATTTTCTTCCATTCATCTGTAAAATCCATTCTGCACCCTCAGCTGCCGAGCCCCTGACCCAGGCAGGCACGTAGGAATTGCCAGCAGGGGAATGAGAAATATTGTGCAGAGCCAGCACCAAATGTCTTTGCACTTAGACCTCACTGGGAAATGCAAAGTACTCTGATAACATGTTTGATGACTATTTCAGTAAATTACAAAAGTCAATGTCTCTGCCTGTATCAGGATGATTTGGCACTGGAAGCTGAAATTGTGCAACATTTCACTACAGTTGCTGCTACTAAAGAAAAACCAGATATGCAGTCAAGAATTTGTTTGGGGGTTACTAAATATTTCATTTAATAAATCTACCTTGTCTTATAACTGGAAACAGTAATGAGAATACTTTAATTATAATTTCCTCCACCTTTAATATTCAGGAAGATTCAGGTGGTGCCATGCATATGAATTTTAAACTTCATAAAACAAAGAGATTAAATCACTAACAAAAGTGTGTGGATACCTAAGTAATAAAAGGAGAATACCAAAGTACACAAAAAGTGAAGCACTACAGAAACCATACCATAAAACCAAAGAAAATTTGAACATTTTTTGTGTTTTCAGGCTTCAGAGGCTTTTCCACTTCCCACAAGAGCTCCATTCTCTAGTATTATACCTCAAGAACAAAGTGTACATAATCTGAAAAACGTGCAGTATTGATGGTTGGATCTTTTGGGAAGAGTTAAAGTGAGGCAAGACTCTGGTTTTTACCTCGCTCCATCCCCTTTTCTGGTGTTCCTTTATTATTATTGGTAGAACTGTTGACTAATCACAGCCATCACCATTCTCTGTTGAATTTTCCTCCAGAATTACATGCACGTGACCCAGGAAGTGTTCATCTTAGGGTTAAGTATGAGCAGGTGGTAAGTAAGCAAGAGTCAAGCTTGCTCATGGTGAACTAGATCATGTACTATGTCGTTGAAAGGAACAAACAATGGTTTCCATTTATTACTAAGTAGTACAAGTTGCTCAAAAAGGCAAAGTTCAGTTTTAGAGAAATGCTCCATTTTCAGCTAGTTTGTTCTGTCCCTGGAAACTGCAGCTCTGCAGTGTCCCCCGGGCTGGACTGCCTGTCCCCCTCCTGGGGAGGAGGATGAGGAGCAGGAGCTGTGTGCCTGGGCTGCTGTGTCCCCCACCCTGGTGAGGATTTTGAGTCCTTCTGGGCAGGTGGCAGCAGCTCTGGAAGCAGACAGTCCTTAGGTAATGCTATTACCAAAATGGGGGCAAACAAGGTTCCTTACAAAGGCATGCTTTCCTAAGAAAAGTAGCTTTACATAAAAGGTAAAGTGTTTGTTTATCTTGGGAGTGTGTGCCAGGGAGAACCAAAGGGTCACTCAGAGCTACCTTAGCAGTCTGCAAGCTCCTGATTATACCATGGCAAGGTCCTGATCCAGTCCTCAAAAATAAATGCTTGCTCTTTGATACATTAAGAGAGGTTATACATACAATGTTTGCCCTACAGTATTTCTGGAGTATTGTTTTTATGTTCTGATTCAAATATTTGGGAAGATTGTAAAGCAAGTGTTGCTCTGGTTTAGGTGTTATAGAGGGTGGGATGTCGGCAGCAGCCAGTGCACATTAACAGCCAGAGCAACTTCAACCTCAGCTAATATTTACTGTGTGTCTCAGTAGATGTATTTGAGTGGCAGGATGTGTTTTAATCTGAGTTTAAAGAGAATTTTGTATTTTGTGTATTAGTTTAATGAAAGATACGTGGAGATATTACAGTTTGACCTAAAGAAAGGATACAGATGCCACTGATTAAAGTGGTTGTTCCTTCTAACAAAAAAAATTACATTATGTTGTCTTGCAATGTATTCTACCCTTTATAACCTTCAGAGCAAAACAGCCACATACAGAAATCAGGAATTGTGTGGTTTACTCATATTCCCTCAGTATTATGTATTTCTCAGAGGGAAGGCAGAGGATTCCTGAGAATATTGTCTGATAAGACAGCTTGGTTAATGTCCGTGGGTTTAGACTCTTCATGGTTATCACCAAATTGCAAAAAGCAATTTCCAATCTTGACTGGAAAAACAAAAAAAATCCTGAGGAAAAAAATGTGTTGTTTTCTGAGATGAAACAATTTCTATCACCCTTGGAGGCTAGAAAGTTAACATTTCCTTGTGCTGCTACAAATATTTCTCTATTTCCCCCAAGTGCACTAAGGCAGTGTAACACAGCTAACTTTGAACATTAGTAGGGCCAATAAAGTATGATCCTACTTTATCATGGTGTTTTGCCTCTGAATTCACATCTAAACCCCCTAAATTTAACTATTAAGCTAGACTAAAGATTAAACAATGCAGAGCTAATACTCAATGGATATAAATATGTGGAGTTACTAAGCAAAGTTCCACATACCAATGCTTCATTCCACAGTATCCCTCACATCTACAACTCATCATTCATTGTTACATTCAGTTTCTAGAATCAGAAATTTGTAGATATGTTAACTTATAAATTAAACATTATACACTTTGACTCCTGTTATTTGTTATCTTCTATCTCTTCAGTGGATATGTGCAGATTCAGACATGGGAGAGGATTTAGCTTATGGTGACCACATTAACTGCAGTTTTACCCAAGTGTTGTTCCTTCCTGCATTAACATTTTTTGCATAAAAAGGATATGGTTTCATAAAAAGTTATCTATTGCTTGGTTTAAATATATCATTTTACAAAAGAGAGCAGAAGAATTTGTGAATGTATGTTCTAAATGAGAGAGATTTTTAGCAAGGACACGTGAGTTTGTTTCTCAGAGCCCCCATGTGGTGCAGACAGACTGATGGGATCAATCCCATTGCCTTGCCCGTGATTATCTATCCTGGCACTCTGGAGTGATTCATTTTCCATGCTGGTTTAAAGCTCCCCAGGAGAGGAGACTGCTGCCTGCTCTCATTCAAAGACAGTGGCTGTCATGGGTATCATTTAAGAATTAATTGTTTGTGACATACACAGATTAAATAAATAGGACTGGATAGGTTTTGAGTGTTGAACTGGGTTTAATTACCAGAAGGAAGAATGTAGGCTGAATTCTCTTAGGAACTACACAGGATGGATGCAGGAATTGTCCTTTAATGACAGATCAGAATTCTTCATCTCTCCATACCTGACTACTCAAGCAAGCAGTGGCTGAAGACTTTTACAAGGCAGACATCAATTCCATGTTTAGTCCTCAGAGTGCCTTCAAACAAGCTGATTTACAGGCCATGTGCAAATATTAATGTTAAACTATCCTCATGGAGGACAAACTGTCACCACTCTTTCCTCTTTAAGTGTTTTACAGAGCATTGCTTCTCTTTGTCTTAGGGAGATGGGAAAGGCAAATTGTCCATAAATGCTGACCAGAGGAACAGGCTGCACTGTCGGACAGTGCAGGAGTTTTATGAATCAGGTTTTCCTGAACCCCCAGGAGCACCAATATTGACACAAGTGCAGTATTGATTACTGCACCTGACTCTTGACTTACTCTGCCAGTCCTGGCTCGAGAAGTTCCCCAGCCTCAGTTGCAAGAAGCAGGATGCTGCCAGGTTACCAGCGTGGTGACACTTCCATTCCCCTCTGCTGGGTGAAGGAAGGCAGATTGAGACATGAGGAAAAGCCAGCTCAGTATACAAAGGCTTTGTTCATCCACAGGAAATGCGAATTGTTCTCAGGTAGAGCAGCTGGAAAATCATTCTTAGGCTGGAAAAAACCAAACTGGATCTTAAGTTTTCAGCTCCTTTTGCACATACAGTGTTAGGCTGAAGGGCCCTTCTGCTGCTGCATTTTTCAGCAGGGAGAGAGGAGTGTGTTTTACACTATGGTTTTGATGGTATTTTTTCTTGCTTTATCTCATCCCTCCAGTTTTTGGCAGGCAGTTGGGCAGCAACTTTCTGCTCAAGCTCATTTCTTTGGTAATTATCCTAAGTGGTACAACACTATCCAATCATTCTTTTTATGAGATACACTCATCATTAGAGATAAGTTTTGCTTCACAGAAACGAACCGTTATATCAAAGAATATTAGAGTAATACCAAACATGTCTGTTTTGTTAGACCACTGTGTCTTGGGATGGAGATAAGCTGCTTTGTGTACAGAATGGAGAGAAGGAAGGCCGTGGTTGGACCCAGTGGATTGAAGGAGATGAAATGCACCTGGTAAGATCATGGAAGAGTTTTTGAACGCCCCTCCATTCAAATGGTTAGATACAACACAGCAGGGAATGTGCTGTGTCATTCTGGCTTACTTTGACATAATTGGGTATTGGTGCAGCATTTGACTTGTTTCTAAAGCAACAATTTCTTTTGGAGCCGTTATGTTTTTATGTCCCTTTCAAAGCCTGACCATTTTGAATGCTCTTTTCTGTGCTCAGTGTCTGTCCAGACTCACCAGGCTGAAATGTTCACATGAGGAAGACAATTACCAGAATGTCCCTCACAGTCTGCAAAATGCTCAGTATGGGAGCTGTGAAACTGAGCACCCAAAAATAAGGGAAAAATACACAATTGTTATTTTAAAATAATTACAGGCCACACTATATTATAGCCTAGAGAACTAAAACATCGATTAAGCTTTTGAAATGGATGTTTTTTTCAGATCATCATTTTTTATCTTTCTAAATTAACAGGACCTGAAAGAAGATGCCTGTTCTTTTGTCCTATAACTCCTTATAGCATCCTCACTCTCTCATCAGTGTGGGTAAAAGGCAGTGCTCCTGCTGGGATAATAAACTCCAACCTCCATTTCTCCTCACTGTGCAGTGCTATTAGCATTCAACAATCTAAATGGATATATTCTAAATGTTCAAATCAGTAGCAGAGTTATCAAACCGTTGCAGAAGCACCCCAAGCCCCTTATCACTAACCAGAATTTTGAGGAAGTGTTGGTGGTTCCAGAATGCAGTTGAGGAGAGGAATGGGTATGCCAGATCTGCCCAGCTGGCCTTGGTGCAGCACAGGCAGGGAGAAGGTTGCTGTGTGAGCGAGGACTCTATAGCTGAGGCCATGGGCTCACCTGGAGGGGGGGAGGCAGCAGTAAAAGGAGATGTCTCAATTTCCTGCGCAGGCACACTTGCTCCAAGGGGCAGCTGTCCGTGTTTGCACGCTCCTCGCTCCCAGCGGCACAGCAGGCAGGCCACAGCCCCCCAGCCCCTCTGCTGGCAGACAGCTCCAGTCCCCCATCACAGCCTGCCCCAAGCTCAGCTCAGCCCTGGCTGCCCTCAGTCCTGCACACCTGTGCCTTCCCCTGCACATAAACAATGGCACCACTTGCTCTTGGGTTTCTCTGGACTGGCATCCTGCTTTGTGGCCTTTGCTAGCCCCCAGGAATTATCTCTTCCCATCTTCTGTCCCCAACACCATTTCCTTCAGCCCTGGTTTCTGTTCTCCTTATTCTGATTCCTGCTCTAGCCATACAGCCTGGCCCTGGACCTCCATGCCCAGAGCACTTTCTAGACTTGTCCCAGTCAGGAGGCTCATTTTAGAAGTCAGAAATTTACATTCCATTACTTCAATACTTGTGTCTAGTGGCAGTTCAGGTAGCCCAGGGTAACCTGACTGCTCTGATGCTGCTTTTCAGAAGGCTGGGAGGAATTCTGGATCATACCTTACAGCTCATGCATTCACTCACTGGCAGTTGGAAAATTTACCACAATCTGTTTCCCCTGTACACAGAAGTCAGTACAAAATTAATTCATGCAAAGGAAATAACCAGGTATTTTAGAGCCCACTCTTCGATCTTTCAATTTTCTCACTTCTGTTTTTTCATGGATTTCAAAAGATGTCCTCTTTCTTTCTCTAATCCTTGATAATGCAGCTCTCTCCATTAAAAGTACAGTAGAGTCCCCTTTAGTATCTTATTTTTGACCAGCTAAGATTACTAGGTCTTGTCCTTTTGAGAGAGCTTTAATACAATGTGCAGTTACCTTTAAAGAATTGATACTTCAATAGCTTTATGAATCTATTGAACTTTATACAATGAGCCAAGTGTTAATTTATTCTTTTCACAGTTCTGCAGAAAGTAGGACCACATCCTTTAGTAGTTTATCGCTTCCTATTGTCTTCATTCCATTCTGTGGTGTGTACTTTGTAGTTCTTTTTAGATTTTATTTTATGCGAATGACTTATTTGACCATTCCCCATTTCCTTTTGAGTTTTATTACCCTTTTCTATCGTATTGATTGCTTCTGCTCAGTAGTTTTTGTCACTGTCAGCAGATCTCTCAGCCCTTATTGCACACTCCTTCTTCTGGGTTACCTCTGCAAGAGTGAACAGAACCAGGTCCTAACCAAAGTCACTGCATCACTCTGTTGTTCCACCAACTCAGCACAAGCACTTTCTCTTACTGGGGTCGAGCAACATATTAATTGACATATAACATGTCAATTGAGATTATTGACCTAGTTTAAGGTTTTTTTAAGTCACTTTGTCAAAGTCCCCCATAAGAAATGTGCATAACTTCATCAAAATATTCTAGGAGCTTTATTAAAAGTCTCATCTTGAACTGGAAAGTGTATCCCTTCTGCTAGGTCATGCACGAGCACTGTCTTTATGTCCCTTAAGAGCTTCCACACTCTTTTTTCTTGCACCTAAACCTTGCCCCAGGCATGTGCCCCAGGCACACACCTGTGTGCACTTCTCAGATGGACCTTGAGGAGTTTCAGGAGCAGGGATGTGTGAACAGGCAAACAAACAGCAGCAGCCTCAGGATGGGAACTCTGCCCCTGCTCATGCCCAGCTCACAGAGGTGCAGAGATCAGCAAGGGGGGTTTTTCCAAAGCTCCTGTGGAACTCAGAGAATCAGCTTTGTACATCCAGGGTGCTCACGTTCAGTCAAACCCTCTGTGCTCCGCTGGTTGACAGGCCTGGAGCAAATCTTCTGTACAGTCACCTGTCTCTGGGAGCCAGGAGCTCTGTGTTGCTAAAGTGACCCTGATTTCTAAATTTGCAGGCTTGAGCTACCAGTCCTCAGAGATTCAGAGCTGGTGAGGCAAATCCATCCCCACTGCTTTATGCAACCAGAACAGAGAATGCTCATGCCAAAGGCCTAAAGCAGTTGCATATTATTGACTGCAAATCAAGAATGATGCACCAGGAATGTATTTGGCCCTTTAAGATCTGAGATCCCAAAAAAACTTCCCTTGCTTCACCTTTTAGCAGAAAACAAACCCGAACCAGATGTTTTCTTTTAGGATGAAAAATAGGCTAAAATATGTACAAGCCTCCCAATTTAATTTAATAGAAAATCATGAATTCAAATTCAGTTGGGTGTACACATTAATCCATAACATTTTTGTCCTAAGTAAAAATTGTGGTTTCTAATTATTTTCTCTTCCTAGGAAATAAGAGTGTGTGGAGTCACATGTAAGCAGGTCTTTAAGAAGGTGCAGTGAGCTACTGCTGCTACAGGAATGAAGAACAATAGAATTTACTGACTTGCCAGCAACTCTCCAAATGCTAATACTGAGCATCCTCAGCTACAAGAGCAAACACAGAAATGAAGATCACATTAGAACCATATAGTTGGAATAAAATATTTTTAGGAAATTGAAAAAAATGACTGCAAATTAAACTATTTTTAGAAATGCCAATTAAAGATACTAAACTCTCTAAATGTGTGTATACCATAATTCTCGACTCTGCCAAAAAAGGACTATTAGGTATAGAACAAGCTGCTGGAGCTTTAGGCCTTGTAAGCTGGTTTTTTACTCTCAGTAGATATCACCCTTTCAGAGCCTTAGCCTTGTTTTCAAATGGTGAACTGCAGTTTTAAGGAAGCAAATGAAAGCTGTAGGATGCAGCGTGTACTTAAATCCTGAATTCACTGAAGCCAGTAAAATGTTACCATTAGCTCTGGTGGAATAGATCCATACTGGAAGTGTTCCATCAAAAATAAATATCTGATTTCTCAAAACAAGTAAATTTATGGATCAATACCTTGGGGAAAAAAAAACAAAAACTTACAAAAGCATGGGTAAAGGGCAGTGCTTTTCCAAATGCTTTGGCCAATATCTGCCCATGCATTTGTTGTTGTTGTTGTTCTGGAGACACTGAGAGTAAGGTCATAGCTAGAAACTCTCTGTGACTGTACACACACCACACAGAAGATGACACCAGCATTGCTTTGTACAGTATCACTTGCAGATATTTTATGCCCATCATAGTCCCATGTTCTTGTGCAGACTGAGCATAGGAGAGCCTTGGCCTGGCAGTTGAAATCAGAACACTGATTAAACCTTAGCGGGGGGAATAATACACCCAGATTTTCAGTCCATCAGCACACTGGATATAGGGAGCACCACCAGGTCACATCAAATTCAAAAAGGTTTAAATTCACAAACCTTAGCATGTAACCTGGAATTCCAGGTGTCTCCTGTAACAGCTGTTATTTTCATGGACTCAGTCAGCGGGGAAATCACCACGGCAGAGCCTGCTCTGGACTGGGACCATCCCTTTCCCTGCTCTGGACTGGGACCATCCCTTTCCCTGCTCTGGACTGGGACCATCCCTTTCCCTGCTCTGGACTGGGACCATCCCTTCCTCTGCTTAGCCTTGCTTTTGCCTTCCCCAGGGACTCAGTGCTGACTGGGACAGTTCAGACATTAAATGGAACAAATGCTGCCATCCTCTACTAACCAGAGACTGTTTTAAAACATGCACTGTTATTAATCCTGTTCAGGAAAGCTGGGAGCCTGATCTAACATGGAATCCCAGACTCACAGCATGGCCAGGGATGGAAGGGATCTCAGATATCCAACCTGCCTGCCATGGGCAGAGACACAGCATGGAGAAAAAGAGGTTCAGAAACAGCCATTGTAAACTCTAAAGCTAGCACAGCAGGGATGCCAAGCTTTCTGAACCATGTTATTTCAGTGGTACTGTATCTTGTGGGTGTAGCACCAGAAGTGCTGTAACAGACATCTAATTCAATTTTCTAAAGTTTTGGGGTTTGCTTTACTTCAGAAAGTACCCCGAAGATATTACCCATGAAGACTTAAGCATCCCCCTGTGATAAACATGTGAATGCTCCCTGTCCATGTAAATTCTTGTGCTAGCATTGCAGCAGCAGTGGATGATACCGCTCAGAATTACAGACATGCAATCAAATTATTTATTTAAGTTCCCCTGTAATTATTTTTTTCTTGGTACTACTTATGACTAAGGAAGTCTCTGGGACATATACTTGAATCTGATCAGCCAGGTCCATGCAGAAGCTGCTTTTGTCTCCTAGAAGAGTGTGTTAGCCAGCCAGCTGTGTGTCCATAGCTAAATTGATATTCTGACAGACAGACAGGCCACCACCTCACGGGGATTGAGTTTTCTGGTACTTGGAGTGGGACAGATCAAAACTGGTTACAATTAAATATGGTAGAAAGGTTGTAAGAGAGGGGAAGGATGAGAAACCTGCGGATCTTGGACTAAAATGTTGTTCTGCTTAAGGGAAATTGCAAATACTTGCCTATTTAAAATGCTATTTATCATCTTACACAAGGTTGAGGATATCCCAGTTGCCAAATTTAAGCACATCAGTCATTTGTTTTTCTTGGAAGATTATTGGATACAGAAACTTTTTTCCTTAAAGTTTCTAATTATTGATTTCATAATCATGGACACCCTCCAAGTATCTTTCCACTCTTCAGCCCCAAGGAGAGCAAGAGAACAAACAAGTAACTGTAAGAAAGTGATGGCTCACACCTCCATCCCCAGATAAACTTGGCAGGATTTTTTTTAATGCTCAGCACTGACAAAGACCTTTTTGGAAATGTAGTTTTCCTTCAACAGAACTTGGCTGTTCATAACCTTTAATTCACCAGCTGTCTTCTAATTTTTGCCTGCAGCTCTCTCCAGTCTTGTGTAACATTCACGAACTCCTTCTGCAGAAGGTTGTAAGTGGATCAATTAACATCTAGCTAAGTAAATCCAATTGTTAAAAGCTATTATTATTGCAATCAAACAGACAGCTTTTCCCCTTTGGGTCATTTGGTACAAGGGCAAATTTAGCACCATACTAATAACTAATGGCTTATCAAGCAGAAGTAGTGTAACCTGCTGCTAATTATGGAGGAAAGGCAAGCCCACAAAGCACTTCCACAGCTCATGGATGGAAAATACAGAAACTTCAGAAATGTTTAACTTTGAATAGATTCTCTTCAAGTCATCTCAATTGCTTGTCATTATAATTGTAACCTCTTACCTCACTGCAGCAACCCTTTCCCTTGGAAAAGGAAATTGTGTTCATCCATTGCTTCCATGACGATGCTTTCCAATTAAGTGTGTAAAATTAACCATGCTGTTTCCATGAACATTAAAAAACTGTTATCATGAAATGTAATTTAAAACTTTCTCCATAATGCTTACTGAATGTACAGCATTCAACAATTATTTGACAAATATCTTTCTCCCTCGCTATTTCATAACTACTTAGTAACAAAGACCTTCACAGGGAATTCATATCCAGATTTGCTTTCATATCCAGGAATCAAACTTCATATTGATTTTCTTGATCTGCAACAGAATTTCAGCCATGGTTTGCCACTATCCACTCTGTATTCCTACAGAACTGCAATACCTTCAGATAATGGACATCTTATATTTCATTAGGAAAGACCAGTGCCTACAGAAGCAGTGTGAATGTGAAGTGTAAACAAAACAGACTTTTCCCGTTGTTGAGAAAACACTTTTTGTTTACTTGAACCTGCAACCTACAGGTACATTACAATGTCATTCCTCCCACCAGAGAGCCATTCCCTGTTTTGTCCATGCCACTCAGGTTTTTTTACCCCTTCCAGTGTATAAACTTGGCTGTTCCCATCTCTTACAATCTAAGCCGTGGAAACCAGAACTGAAAGAAGAATTGAGGTTACAGTTTACATTTATGCAACAGTCCAGCTGTGAAGGCTGGGGAGGAGATCCTTAGTGTAATGATCTGTGTAAGAGTTTGATCATAAAATAAACATGGGCTGAATGGCAAATTCCTCCCAAGAAGAAGGAGCATCAAATTCCCAAAGAATGTCCCATGGGACTGAGCTCTGGAGCACAGCAGAGCCCTGGTGTGCCATGGATGTGCTCCCCTGGGTACATCCACTTCCATCAATGTCTGTCATTTGGAGCTTGGCTCTCCTCTAGGAAACTTGACAGTAAAAAGCCAGAGTTCACCACTAAAACATTAATAAAACTTCCTAGAATGTACCATTTTGAATTATATTCTCATTTGGACAGCCTCATCTGTAACCACAGAACAGATTCCCAGCTATTCATCATTTCACCTTCTATCAGTAGCACATTTGTCTTGGATTATTACCTGGGTACAGCTATTTCTATTTTAAGAAGTTTTTTTCACCTCAAAGCAAATGTTTATTTAAATAATTTGCTCCTATCTAGCAAAAGTGCACACAAAAGTAGAGTCCCTTCAGTACCATGTATTTTATTACCAGGACAAGCTTTTTCTCTATATTAGTAGCTAATAATAAGAATCCACCCTGAACAATTAAGGAAAATGTCATTTCAGTTCTTCACCAAACCCTTCAATAAGACGCCTAGCAATTACGTTTCTGCACCATGAAGGCAAAATAAAATCCCCTCTTTCCTTTCTTATTAAGGGAAGGAGGAAAGAAGGATAGGAAAGTGTCTGTGGTTATTGACTCTACACTTATTTACATAACAACAGACCATTTGTCTTGTGGTACACCCCGATCCCAGTGCTGAGCAAACAAAAGGCCAATATTGTGACAAGAGCGTTCCAAATTTAAAATATTTTATTTAAATGTTCAGCTATTTGACATTCTCCAGATTGGAGCAGAAGCATGAGCAGTTATTTATGTGCCCATCAGCATTACAGAGCAGCTAACATTTAAAACTCGTGTGTGCATGTGCAGAACACGTGGTTACACAGACCATGGTTATCAGCAGCACACTGCAAAGACAGGCAGTCCTTTAAATGCTTTTAGCCTCACTCCCCGAGCTCTCTCGTGCCTGTTTCACTGGCCTTTCCTTCCCCTCCCCTTCCAGCTACAAAAGGCAACACTGCAGAAGAGCAGAGGTGAAACACAGGGAGAGATGAAGACTTAATGCAAAATTGTACTGAGACTTGGAGTTAAACAGAAAAGTTCCTCTCCATCCTGATGTTCCCACTGAATTTTTCTCTCATGCAAGTCAGGATTTCCTAAAAAAAGGAAGTGTTTATAATGCAGTGCAGTCACCATTGTAATTTGGTGAGGCTTAGAATCACAGCACACGAGTCAAAACTCACTGGAATTTAACATTCCGTCAAGTGCAACAAGACTCACAATAGTTCCTTGCTCCCTTTCTCTAATTTGAAATCACCGTGATTTGAGTTATATTTTCTTACCAAGGCACTGAATCTTGTCATCCACAACCATTCCAATTTCCAACACTTCTCTCCAGCTGGGCATGCTAAGGGCATGCAGAGGAAGCTAACACAACTCAACAGAACTTCTGTGGAATGACTGTGTGATCTTTCACCCACCCTGTCACCAAACATGTTGCCATTCTTGACGCTGGAATTTCCAAGGTTCTTTTTGTAGAGGAAAATGAGAGAAAAGTGTCATTTAATGTGTGTTACAACAGCACTGAAAGAACTTGCTGAGACAGAGC